AGGGGCGAGGGTTTGGAGAGAACAAAGTTCTGTAAGTTGAAATGGGATGTGCGGGAAGACCAATGAGGCTGAAAACACCGACCTCCTGAATTCTGAAGTCTTTTTTTTTTTGCCCACAGAAATGAGCTCCCCACCCTTAGTGGCAGCAGTACCTCCACCCACAGTGGTACTGCCTGTTCTATCTCTGTCTGTGGGAATAACCCTGCATTTCCGAAGGAAACAATAATGGCTTTTCCTGAGGTAGCTGCTAAGCATGACACTACTAGTTCTCCTTAAGACACACATTCACTGCTCTTTGGCCAGCAGGCCCCCAAAGGTCGGAGACAAAAAGTGATCCAGGAGAAATACATCATATCCCTAAAGAAATACTTGGTTTCCTAATTTATATGAACAGAACAATGACAAACAATCTGGGAATGAATATTAAGCATACAGTAGTAGTAGAAAGAACATAAAGTTGGAAGAGTATGATCTTAGGGGAAGAGGCCTTCTTTTCAGAAATTCTGTATTGCACGTTGCTGGTAAAGGAGCTAAGAGTATTGTTTCTTAGTTTGGTCCAATGAAACATGAGTCAAGATGGCCCTCCATTAAGCAAAGTGGAGATGCCCAATCTCTTTTGGTTTAACATAGAGGAATGTACTCAAAGGTTGAGGGATATTGGAACATTAGTCATTCATTAGTCATTCCTGAAGAATCATGTTACTATTCTCTATATGTATGTTAGACTTCACCCTGGGGACCAGTCACTCAACTGGAAAACTTAAAGTGCAACAGGGATAATTATATCTTAGGATAGCAGGGGTCAAGCAGCAGTACTCCAAGGTCAAAGGCAATGTGGGCAATTAATTCAATGGACAGTAGAGGCAAAGTAAGAATCAGAATTGCTTGATCATTTAGATTTATGACAATGGCTAATTGTGGTATTTTTAGATGTAAAACAGATAAGAAGTCTATCAAATTCTTAATCTGTATAGGCAAAAAACTTTTAGGTCAAGTAAACAAAAGTTGAACTTTAATCATAAAAACGGAACGTAAAGTCATGACTCCTCAACCAATTTCAATACTTGGGTCATTCTACAGACCCAAACTCCCTTGAATTAAGTGGAGGTTGGGTTACTTTCACAAAGAACCTCAATTTTCTAGTGCCAATTAATACGCTCCTCATTCCAAAGTGAAACATGGCTGTTTCCCAGGGTAACTCACATTAGGGAAAACAAAACAAAACATAATGAGAGCTTTCAGACTATTGGATGGTGGCTCTGAACTGACACTGAGTTCCAGGAGACCTAAATTACCACTGTGGTCCTCTGGTCACAGTAGGTGCTTACAGAAGTTAGGGAATAAATTGAGTTTTATTTCAGGTTCAACTAGCAGTGTGTTGTGTACATCTACAAAGCTATCTTGTGATTATTACCCCAGTTCCAGAATGCAAAGTAGTAGCTAGTAGCATTTCCACTGGCTCCCTAACCTATCGAATCAGGGCTATTAAGATGGAAGAAGCCAAATGAATGCCATGGAAGCTGCCTTTATCAAAAAAGGTTGTAAACTGAAGACCAGACTGAGGAGATTAGTACCATCAGTTAAGGACTTGAACGACATAGTGGTGGTGATTACCATCAATTCCTATTTCAACTCCACCCGTGCAGAGGACAGTTGGATCTTGCACAATGACAGTGGATTACTGTAAGTGTAACCACGTGGTTCCTCTAACTGCAGCAGCCACTTCAGATGTGATTTCATTGTTTCATCTGGTATGCAGCTATTGATCTGATACATGCTTTTTTTCCCCCTTTCTCCAAGAAACACACAGTTTACTTTCTGATGGCAAGGTTAGCAACACAACTCACTGTCCTACCCTAGGAGTACAGCAATTCTCCAGTTTGGTATTACATGGTTTAGGTTCACAGGGAGCTTGATTTCTGTTCCCTTTCAGATGACACCACATGGGCACAGAAAAAAAAAATGAAGACCCACTCTAGACATATTGGTAAGGCACTTGTTTGTCAAAGCACAGCAAGTATATCCAACTAAAATTTGGGGACCTTTGTTAGCGAAATTTCTAGGGACCCAATGGTGAGACATTTGTGAAGTTGCTACTTCTGCAGTGGTAGATATCTGGTTCCTTCTGCAACCAAGAAAGCCACAACTTCTACTGAGCCTATTTGGATTTTGGGAGCAATACATTCTTCACTTCGATGAGTTGTTCTGGCTCATTTACTGAGTGACTCCTCATCTGCTGGTCCTCAGTGGGGTCCAGGACAGAAGGCTCTGTATTACGCCCAGGTACTGCATAAGCTGTGCTGCATTTAGGGTCACATGACCCAGCAGATCCCGTGCTACCTGAGTGGTCAGAGGTAGACAGGGATACTGTCTGGAGCGTTTAGCAAACCCCTAAAGGAGAATCAAGGTGAAGGCTCTCAGGATTTTGGAACAAGTCCAACAATAACCACTCTCCTTTTTGGAGAAAGTTCTAGGGCTGCTTCTGGGCTTTTAGTGAAAACTGAGTATTTAACAAATTCACCAAATTCTGCCAGCTAAGCTGTCATGATCCAGATACTTATTATATGACCCACCAAGCTATAAAGTTGAGCATGTCCAGGAGAACTCCATCAAATGGAAGTGGTGCACTCATCATCAGGCTTGAGCAGGTCCTAAGACTCAAGTAAGTTACACAAAGAATTGGCTCAAGTGCCTATAGTTCCTACTCCTGCAATTTGGCCTTTTCTCTCAGCCTGCATGCATCACCCTTTGGGAAATACATTAAAAACAATTAACAGAGGAAGATAACAATAGGGCCTGGTTTATCAATGATAGACCACTGTAAGTGAGCAAAGGCCGTGACTGTATCTGGCTCCCATGTGAAAGTTTACCAAAGAGTGATCTCAGTAGAGGAGGGTTACAATAATCAAGAGGATTTGATAGCATAGTATATAGACACTAGGAAGCTCAGTTTCAGGTATCTTGGCATTTCTGAATAGGTTCATTCAGGAAAGTTTTCATAGTGGTTAAGATGAAGGTTCTGCATGAGTTCAGGAATATGGACTTCCACTCACCAAATGAGTTCTAGAAAGGGGTGGTGAAGTGACTGTAAGACAATATAACTACATCCTGTAGAACTGTATGTCAAATATAGTTAAAACAGTATTTTTTATGCCACATACATACTGCCATAAGAAAGGTCTGAAAAAATTAACAGAAATAGCTAACCTATTTTTAAGAAATTATTTACAAAATTATGAATGAGAAAGAAAACAGAACCACAGTAACACAAAATTTAAAATGATAGTTCCTAAGTTCTAATGCACATCAAAAAATCTGAATAAATGGTATAGTTTAATAAAATGTAAATGAGTTAACCAAAAAGAAGAGAAAGAGCCAGCAAGTGAGGGAAGAGAGAAGCAACATGTGTGAAAGTAACTAAAAAATGCCAGTGTAGGCTGTTTGACTGGTGAATTCTTTCAGCACTTCAAAGAATACAGCTAACATTGAAAAACTTCTTTGGGCCTGTTGAGGCATAACTGGTTAAAGGTGCTGCCTGAAATGCTGGCACCACTATAGGCTCTGGTTTGAATCCTGGATGCTCCATTTCTGATCCAGCTCCCTGCTAATGTTTCTGGGGAACAGGGGATGGCCCAAGTCTTCGAGCCCCTGCACCTCCATGAGATACCCAGATGAAGCTCCTGGTTCCTGATTTTTTTTTTAGCCTAGCCCAGGTTTAGCCACTGTGGTCATCTGGGAGTGAACCAGCAGATGGAAGGTCTTTCTGGCTTCATAACTCTTTCAAATAAATATATCTTATCTCCACCTCCCCCACTCAAGGCACTCAGGACAGTGGGATGCAACATCAGTATGGGATTGCTGGGGATATGAGTTGGTAAATCCCAACAGGATCAAATGTATTATCAGCAGCATTAGATTTATCTTGGCAAAGATATGAAGATGTGTAAAGTAATTAAAATAGCAAATGAAGGCTGATGTTTTGCTGCACTGTTGGGTGCCTACTGTTTTTTTGACGAAAATATTTTGTTACTAAATTCACATTTGAATTAAAAACTTAATGGTTTTACAGCATTGCATTTTAGTTTGTAAAGCTGTATTTTTTTTCATATAAAGTCTAAGTAAATAAGCCTATACTACATATTATGTATGTATGTTTTTAAGTAATAGTAAGGTAGAAAAAAGGTTTACATTGAGATTTATGAAAAAAGTTGTTTTTCCTTCAAAGGGGCATTATACAGTTTTAAAGACTCTGCTCTAAGCCTTAAAGGATCAGAATCATGATCTTTCTACTGAGTTTGACTTTCTCTGCTGCTTCTTGTCACTGCAATGGTAAGATTTCATGGGTCCCATCAGGATATAGCTAAAGGTGAAAAAAAAAAACCCAGGAAGACAGGGCTGTATTTCAAGCTGCTGGGCCCACACAGAAGAGGAAATGGCTTCACTGAAGCTCCACAAAGTCTTATCTAGGTCACAAGCAACACTATTTCTGCATAGGGACTCAGAGGCCAAGAAACAGACAAGCCTTGGAGTTGAGAACTGTAATTCTATCCTCAGTGGCCCCTCTGCATGCAGGTCTTGAAAATTTATGCAGCTGGCCAACCATGGAGCTCCCGGTTTTAAGCAACACATTTCCCTCTTGACTCAAAAGCCACATTCCGGCTTCCCTTCTGCATTAGGCACATTCCTCAACAGAAATCCATTTATCTTATGATGAATACCAGTTAGACCAGCTTGTTCAATGCAAACCATACTAGCGGTCCAATCAAATGCAATCAAAAAACCGATGATACATTATCTGCCCATCACAACTGTCTAGAAAAGAATCTAAAAATAGGGAGAGATTTCAGAAAATCATTTAATCCAGTGTCAAGATCAATGAAGTTGGTATCTTCTAAAACATCCTGATAACAGACTCTCTTCCTAACCACTTCAGGGGTAGACAACTACTCTTCAGGAAGTTCTTTTCTCCTGTTATAAAGTTATCTCTTGTTAGGGCAGCCTTCTTTATAAACAAAGAATAACTTTCACCTTAGAACTCTTACTGTAGTTTGGTTCTGCAGTTCTTTTTCTGCATGGTAATTCTTCTCTCTTAATGTATGCAATCCCATGATTCCAAGAGCACCTTGGAAATGGTTTCTACTGTTCTCACCTTCAAGTTACACTCCTCAAAAAAGTTCTGCACATGCAATGTTCCAGGACATCCATACATTTCTTACTATATTATTTCTCTCTCTCTTTCATTAGTGGTAAGACAACACAAGCAAACTTGAGTTTGGGCAAAAATGTTTTCCAAAAAAGAAGCTGGCAAAAAATTTTAAATAAGAAAAACAATTTCAATGTATTACTTGAATCTACTTTCAATGTATTCTTTGGCAGTATTTTTCTAAAGATATTTTTGTAATCTATACACTTAGTAAGATAGACAACAGGGAATTACTCCTATAATTTTTCCTCACCTTTTAAATGACTGCCATAAGTCAAATAATCTTCCTGTTCACATGTTCTAAAGGTGAACAGTCTTCTTACTCTTAAATGTCAAAATCTACTCAGAAAGTTTCAAAAGTTGTTTTGGTTTTTGCTTTATTCTATTAAAATACATATTTATGTGCAGATATACATACATACATATGCATGTACACACACACACACATGCACACACATTTATCTATTTGAGTAACAAAAAGAGAATGAGCATCTATCCTATTTGCTGGTTCTTTTCACAAATACCCACAATAGTTGAGGCCGAAATGGTATTGGAACTAAGAGTCAGAAACTCACTGCAAGTCTCCCATGTGGGTAACAGGGATTCAGTCACTTAAACCATCACTAATGGTTCTCAGGGTCAACATCAACAGCAAATGGAAATCAGGAGCTACAGCCAGTCCTGGGTCTTGAACCTAGATACTCAAAGTGGGTTAGTGGCATCTTAGACAACATCTTAAACATAAAGCTAAGTATTCACCTCCACTTCTGAAAGTAAACGTACTTCACATCATGCGTCATATGGTAACATAAAATTTAAATTTAATAACTAAAATTTCCACCAATGCTTGCTAGTTTTAATACTGTACACATCACAGGAGGATTACAGTGTAGCATTATCTTTTATAAATTTGCAAAAAAAAATTAGGGGAAAGAGAAGTGTATACCCTAGCAGGATATCACCTTGTAGCTTAGATTTTATGGTACCGTCCTCTGAACATACAAGTCAGCTAAAGTTAGCTGTTGCATCAGCATGCGCCCGTGTGACCCTGAATAAGGGACCCTGTTTTCAGTTTTATCCACCTCTGCCTTCTCTATCTACTAGTGTTAACAAGCTGACACAACCAACTCTGAAAAATACTCGGCACCTACAATTGTGTAATATCACAGTTAAGTAATTTCATTACTGACCTTTATATTTTGAAATTAATACTATTCATATTTCAGTAAGAAACAACATTTGTTTGCAAAGTGTGCTTTTAAAATGGAACTCTTCGGCCTAATTCTTATTGACACTATGGTATGACTCTTAAAGCCAGCGCTCTGGACTACAGCTTGACACCTGGGAATGGCATAGGAAAGAAACACATGTAACAATCATAAATTCAATGACTGATCATCAAAAAGTATGAAGCCAAGGTTTTGTGACACACAAGCTGAGAAAGAGAAGTGGCCCACCATAGCTTAGTTACATGAATCAAAATACAAACTGTAACTCTGGTGACTTGGGAATTAAATTGCACCTAAACTGAAGCTTACTTACTTAGAAAAACACCAAAATACAGTTAAAAAATATTTCCATGAATGCCTAAAAACTAAAATTCTGAAACAGTCTGAATAATTGGCCACAGATGACCTTACCACAAGCATGTGGGGTACCTGAATTTTTACTTTCTTTAATCCAAATTTTCAGGAAGAGTCCCTTTGCTTTTGAACTGCAAAATGACAACCTTTAGGACCTCCACATTTGAGGAAAAACCTAGATATTTATAATAAAAATGGGAAGACTGAGGCACCCAGGATAGACATAGACAATCATGAATATCTGAAAAACTGATCTCTATTGTCTACTTACAGGATAAAACTAACATGATTGTTACAAGTTTTTTGGAACACTTGAGGACAAGGAAAATGTGCAAATATATGCTGCCGACTTATCAAGTACCAGGCTATTACATGTAGTTGTATATTATTACTCCTGTGTTAATTTCTTATAACTTTTTAGCTTTTAAGTGGTTGTACACATGCAAATAATATTGCATCATAGACATGTTCTTGGCTTTTCAAAGTGAAAAGTAAAATATCAGAAATGCTGAAATGTGAAAATAAGGTTTGTGAGAAATGCCAACTATTTGGCACCAATTAGAAAGTATCTTCATCTGACTCATCACTCTTGGGTTTGGTAAGTCTTTCCAGTTCCTCTCCATCCTAAAAGAAAATATGAAATCAGTAATTAACTCAAACAAAACTAGAGAGGTAGCATTTTTGATGATCACTAAGGGAAAGTCTCACAAAATATAGTAGTCTTATTCATTCAGTAACAATTCTTATTTCATTAAATGATTAATATGTGTGATCAGATTAAATAAGTTCTTTGTTCTTTTAAGAGCACAATGACGTCATTCAAAGATGCTTTCAAGTCAGTCTTTGAGTGTCAGTTCATAGCAAAAAGGCAGAGAGCAACATCTTCTGGTCTTGGGGAGAAACTAACTAGAGTTCACCTATTACTCTATAACAAAAGAATACAGTACATTTGAATGTATGCTCGGGCATGTATCATTACATTTGAAACTTAAGTTTCTAGCTTTTTATCTTTAGAATCTGTTTTATCGCCATTTCAGAGGCATTACACCACATTTCCAAGAACACTCAAAAAAGCAATAGGCTTTCCCAGAATGAAATGTTCACTCTGTGAAATATTTCACTACTTTTGTGTTCATGAACACTGTAAATAGCAAGGGTTGCTTATTTCATCCTTTAGTACATATTTAAATCCTATACTGAGTCTCCACAAGGTCACTGCTAATAAAATAACTGACAGATACTTCCAAAACAATTGTAAGTAACTGAGATTAATTCTACATCTTTTCCTTTCCAGAGATCTTTTTGGAAGTTACTTTCTTAGTGAAATACACAAACCCTGCCATTCTTGCACAATGTAGTTTATGAATACTATATAAAAGATTAAGGAGCTGGAGTTTCTGATTTGAAACATCAACTACTCATATGCATGAAGTTTATTTCTGCAACGACTGTGAAGAAGAGCAAAGGACCAGGTGTCAGACCTTGGTTACAGTTTCAGTCCTTTACTTATGTCCTACTAGCCAGTCAGCCAATTTTTCATTTACAAAGATAGGAAACTAGACAAGATTACCTGTGAGTCACTGCCCACGTCTCTGATACTGCAATTCTCTGTGATACATATTAACATACAAAGTCCTCAAGGCTGTGATTTGCACTTCTTTATCTCTAACAGAATTTATCATGAGTTCTTAGAAACTCCAGAGTACAATGCTGACTGCTCATTGACTTTTGAGCTACAGAGATCCAATACATTGCTTGATGAAAACAGCACTGGTTTTTCTTTTAATTAAATAGCCATGCTTTGAATTTGTGAAAAAACAAGCCAAAAGCAACATCCTTACACACTTACCCCACTGGAACGCTCCCAAAGGCTGCCACTTAGATCTCGGATCCTTTCTTGTCTAGGTGCACATTCCAGACCCTGAGGCTTGCTGGCATTATAAATAAATATGGAGAGAAGGACTGTTGGGGCTTCCAAGAAAAATTCCAGAGAGGGCCTGAAGTCAAAGACCAGGACAGACACTGTGGTGATGATGACAGTGGTGACCTGAGCCATCAAGACATGGAACATGTTATCCAGGAACTTCAGAATGAAAGCCACTGAGAGGCCCTGGAATGCAGTAACAAAAATAAGGGCTACTGAAAACGCATTGTGGCCATAAAAAAATCCACAGTTCTTAATCTGATCCCGGTTACTGCTTTGAATGGCCAGGGTCAGTGTGTTAAAAAGAACGCCAAAGAAATAGAGTTTGCTGTTCTGCACAAAGATGCTTTCAGTGAGCTGGTTCCCCTCTTTCAATATCTTTTCATTATAAATGTTGGCCAATGAAGACACAAAACATTGCACTATAATAAGAATGTGGCCTAAGCCAAGATGAAAGTTAGTGAACACTCCAACTGTGGCATTCCACTTAGGCTCAGGAGAAATCCATTCCTTGGCTGTGCAATTGTCTTTTCCGGGACACTCACTTATGAAATGAAGGCAGGAATTGGATGGGCTGAAGAAGGCGTCATGATGAAATCCATGGCCTGCTGGGTTATGGTGAGTTTTGGTCCCAGTGGTCAAGGCCACGATAGACAAAAATAGAATCAGAAGGGAAGACCACTGTATTAAGTTGAGATGTCGCCTGTGCAAAAATGAAAACGGCAATTGTTACTCCTTTTTTCCTCAGTCCACTGTTTCTGCTGAAAGTTTATACTCTTGAGTACTGGCTGAATTAAGCCTCCTTGAATTTTGCCATAATTTTCTACAACTCAAGCTCAAAGAAAAGCTGCTGGAGATGCCTCTGATTCTCAAACATGACATTTTTATCCATTGTCCATAGGGACATCTGGTCACTTTTCTTTGCAGGTTTCAATTCAACTTGCATGTTTAATTAAGCCATCTTTCTACCTTCAGAAAAGAACCTGGATATCGGGTACAATAATCTTTATCTTACTATCAAGTTAAGCAAGAGTGGAATTCTCAGCCTGTGAATCAGAAAGGATGTAAGTCTCAGAAGTATTCTATACAGAGGAGATTCCTTAGAGCTTATCAAATCTTCAAAGAGCTGAAGAGGAAACTAGTTCTGGATTCATTACTATGCATTATTCCAGCAAACCGCTGGCTGATAAGGCAAGCAAAATAAAATTCTAACAATGCTTTACTTTACTTACTTGTTTTACCCAAGAAGAAACTTCTGAGATACTAAGTACATGTATTGCTATAATTAAATATGCCAATGAATTCAATTCAACAGACATCTAATAAGCAGTTACCATGTGCCAGGTAACCCGGACAGAAAGACTCCATCCATAATGAATTTCTGGTGTACTAAGCAGAGTACCATGAAAATGGTTGACAGCAGTAAATCATGTCACAAGTGACTTACAGAATAACTGGGGCACACAGAGCTGAGAACAATGGAATCTACAGGTGGAATCAGATTTTGTTTGAAAAAGAAAACTATATTTTAGTTAAAGAATGAAAACTATAGTGAAGTTTACCATGTGAAAGAGGAATAAGTGAGATATTGAGGCAGAAGGAAGGGTCTCCGGAAAGGCAACACGAATGTCTGATGCTGGGAAAGAAAAGAGGAAAGCCCAGCTGGGGTTGAGGTGTAGACAGGAAGGTCTCTTGGCATCTGAATATCAATTAATCAGATGGGAAACCTTGAAAGGATAACTTTAGCAAAGGCAGATATGTGAAGCAATAGCTAAGAATCCAAACAGGTTTGATGTCACTGGACATGTACTGAGAACCTATTGGGGGTGAAGCAACTCCTCCATTAAGAGAGGAAGCAGTTCTCTGAGAGGTTAGCTGACTTCTCTAAGATTATGCATTTAATAAACAGCAAGGAAAGCATTTAAACCATGGTTTTGTACGTTGTCTTCCTGGGTTGTTATATTTTTAAAGACTAATTTTGATCTTCCAGGATTCAAACACAACAATATATGTCTGATTTCATTGTTAGAGCTTCATGCTTTACAACTTCAATGCGTAGAGACCAACCTAGGGAACACCATATCTGTGCACACCATCCTATTTTTTCAAGTATATAATTTTCAAAGAACTAGGCTGCTTGCAATGTGGTGCAGCAAGTTAAGCTACCACTTGCAATGTTAGGATAGGCTTGAGTCCCAGCTTCTCTGCTTCCCACCCAGATCCCTGCTAATGCAACAGGAAAGCAGCGGATGATGGTTTTCTGTTACATTATGGCAGAGATTTGGACGGAGTTCCAGGAAACTGGTTTGGCTTAGCCCAGCCCTGGAAGTTGTAGCCATTCTGGGAGTGATCTAGCAGATGGGATAATCTACTTTCTCTCGCTATATATGACACTCTGCTTTTCAAATAAATAAATCTTTTTAAAATAAACAAATGAAGAACTAGTTCTAGAACTCTGCAACGAAGCCAGCTCTCTTCCAAAGTTAAAAACTGTATACCAGTCTCTTCAAGTTTTGAAGCTGCAGCTGGTATATGTCAAATACTTGAAAGTAAATTAAATGGAAACAGGGCAAGTCATGCAAAACTTGTGTCTTATTTATGAACATCACTATATAATCAAAATGACTGACAGATATATCAGGCAATAACAAAATCTCCAGTACCTTCAGAAGTTCTCAATAGCTGTTGGTTATCCACTAATATTGTAACAGAGAATAAACAAAAAAACAAATCTTCAAATAAGCAAAACAGTGCCTACTACAAACAATTACACGCTCAAGGTAATGTTCTAGAGAAGGCAAAAAATATTGAACTTGGGCTAAAGGTGAACTTTCAGTAAGCAAAATAAAACTTTACAAATTACCCTATAAAGTTAGCTGAGGATCTGTGATTTTACAAATAATAACTGTTCACTCCTGGCAGAATTTGTTCTTCAGTTTAATTGATGCTACACAGAAGCTTGCTTCGCTGACCTCTCCCTTTAGAACACAGTGACTGATGCTCAGAGCTGACCACTTGTGGCTGGAAGGCTGCTATACTCGAGGCTCTGTTCCAAGACAAATTGTTTACCCAGAGTCTCCGTTCCGAAACAATTCCTTTCAAAGCATTCAGAAGACTACTAGCTGAAGGCACATCACTCAAATTTTTAAAATGTCTCTGATTATACACAGGTGAGCTAAAAAAATCTAAGAATGAATGAAAGTCCAGCAAGTTATATTTTTAAAATGTTCTTAAAGACTTGATAAAATCCAGGCTGCCTGAAGCCTGTAGGTCATGTACAGTGAGGGTAGTGACATATAGGAAAGAAGTCAAAGATGACCAGTAAAATACACACACACACACACACACACACACACTCTCTCTTCTCTCTCAACAAAAAGGCCTTAGCTCAGGTTCAAGTCACTTACAATCTCATATGTACACATACTGTGTATATCTGCAAATGTAGTTCCTGCTTACCCATGGTTTTATTTTCCAGTTTTGATTACCTATCACCCATTATTCAAAAGAATTAACTGGAAGATTTCAGAAACAGGCAATCCATATGTTTTAAACTCTGTGCCATTTTGAGTAGCATAATGGTAACCTCTTCTTTTGTTTCTGCTTGGTCTTACACAGAATGTGAGACATCCTTTACCAAGTGTACTTACAGTGTCTATCTAAGCTATTATGCCATTAGTCACTTCGTAGCTTCTGCTATGAAAAAAAACCATAAAGCCCTTATTTTATTGAATGGACGTGAAGAGCAAGAGCACTGATGTAGCTATACTGGAGAGCCGGAAAATGCTTCCCTTACGTGAAAATGTGAGTTCTTAAGGGAAAATACTGTGCGCTGAGGTTGCTAAGAATTCATCAAGAAGGAGGAAAGAAACATTGATGTTATTTTGCTATAGCAGTCTTAACTGCAAGTTAAAGCCATAATGCAGACTAAGTGCTTGGTTAAGGTAGAAAAGGGATTATATTTGTGTTTACTTTTGAAGATTTATTTATTTATTTGAAAGGCAGAGTTACAGAGAGGGAGGCATCAGTCTTCCATGTGTTGGTTCATTCCCCAAGAGGCTACATGATAAGGGCTGAACAAGGAGCCAGGAGTCCCATCCAATCCTCTCACTGGGTAGCAAGTGCCCAAATAACTCTGGTCATTTTCTGCTGCCTTTTTCAGTTCACTAGCAAGGAGCTGGACTGGAAGTAGAGTGGGTAAGACTTGAACCAATACCCTATGGGATGCCACCACAACTAAGTGGTGGCTTTAGCAACTATGCCACAACCCTGGTTTTAGATTTGTAGTGTTCATGTACAGGAAAAAAAAAAACTACATGCACAGTACTTGGTACTGCCTAGAATCTCAAGGATTTACTGCAGATAATACGGGAGGCGCTACTCTGTGTCTGTGTGTAGTCAGCTTTCCATATCTTTGCATTCAAACTGTGATTTCAAAGTACAAAGGTACTTCAAAATGTTCCTGGATAAACTGCATTTAAGTTTAACATTGGTGTAATATACTTTTGAAGTCTATGAATAGTTTTTTTTTTTTACTCAAAAAGCAATTTTAAAAAAGCATATTATTTAAACGGCAGAGTTAAAGAAAGGGGGAGAGGCAGAGGAAGAGAGAAATGTTTCCCATCCAACTGGTTTGCTCCCCAAATGGTCACAGTGGCCGGGGCTAGGCAGGCTGAAGACTGGAGATAGGAAGCAGGAGCCAGGAGCTCCTTCTGGGTTTCCCATGAAGACACAGGGGATGAAACTATCTTATGTTGCTTTCCCAGGTGCATCAGCAGAGAGCTCGATAGGAAGAGGAGCAATCAGCACTTGAAATAGTTACCTGACTTGAGATGCCAGAGCACTAGGAGGTAGCATAACCAACTGTGCCACAGTGCTGGCCAGGAATAGTTTTTTCACAGTACATCCCTTTCTTTCTGTGAACTTTTTTTTTTTTTTTTAAGAGATTTATGTCTTATTTGAAAGACACATTTACAGAGAAAATGAAAGAGAAAGAGAGAGATCGACCATCTGCTGATTCATTCCTCCCAAGTGGCTGCAACGGACAGGGCTGAAGCCAGGAGTCAAGAGCGTCTTCCAGGTCTCCCTCATGGCTACAGCGGCCCAGGACTTGAGCCATCCTCTACTGCTTTCCCAGTTATTAACAGGGAGCTGGATCAGAAGTGGAGCAGCTGAAACTAGAACTAGCACCCATAAGGGATGCTGGCACTACAGGCAGAGCATTAGCCTATTGAGCCACTGCAGTGGCCTGACGTAGTTTCTTACGCATAGATTCCAAAAGGTTCTGAATGAAAATGAGCTTTTTACTTCCATTTTTTCAAATATGAGTGTTTAAGCACTCATATTAAAATGTAAAAATTTATACAGGAACTAAACATGTATAGACTTTTCTCCTTGTCATTCACTAATCAAGAGTATAACAACTACTTACACAGGCTTAGCACTGCATTAGCTATTGTAAGAAATCAAGAGGGGCTTTAAAATATACCAGAGACCCTGTGTAGATTGTATGCAAATACATTGTTATTATTTGTAAGGGACCTGAGTCACTGCAGTTTTTGGTATCCATGGGGGTATCCTGGAGCCAATCCTCAGCAGATACCAAAGGACAATTGTGTACACATGTAATGCTTTCCCAGTTGGGGTTCTCCTAGTAACCTGACAATTAGATTCAAATGGTATCAGACAATAGCACTTAGACCATATTTCTATTGTATTCGGTGGTAGTAGGCCAAGGCAGAGCTTGAAAACAACTAACTTGACTCACAGAATTGCTTTCAAAGGAAACTTTATTCATTTATTACTTACATAGAGAAAATGAGCAGGCCCATATTACTGAAGAATTATAAAGATTTATTGGGAGTTGGGGTTGGCATTATGATGTTGTGTGTAAAGCCACTGTTCATGACCCAGGCATTCCACACAGGTATCAATTCACGCCCCAGACATGCCACTTTTGATCTAGATCCTTGCCAATGACCTGGGAAAAGTAGCGGAAGATGGTCCAAGGACTTGAGTCCCCGCCATCTAAGTGAGAGTCCGGATGAGGCTGCTGGCTTCATCCTGGCTCAGACCTGGTCGTTCTGGCCATTTGGAGAGAGAACCAGTGGGCAGATCTCTCTCTCTTTTATCCCTGTGTCTCCCTCTCTGTAACTCTTCCAAATCTTTTCTTTAAAGTGACTTACTGGGGCAAGTATAGTAGTGCAAAGGGTTAAGCCACTACATCTGGTGTTAGCATTTGGTACTGTGGTGCCAGTCTGAGTCCTGACTGCTCTTCTTTCCATTCCCCTTCCTGCTAACTTACTCTGGGAAGGCAGCAGAAGATGGTCAAAATACCTGGGGCCGTGTGGTAGACCAACATTAAGTGCCTGTCTCCTGGCTTCAGCTTACCTGAGCCCTGGGTGTTACAAACATTTGGGGAGTGAGCCAGTGGATGAAAGATTTTTTCCTCATTCTCTTTGAAATACAAACATAAATAAATCTTGAGGGAAAAAAAAAAAAAAGATGATTTACCCAGTGAAGCAATGAGTTTGGAGAAGCTGCTTCTATACAGACTGGTATTTTTCTTTATCCTGCTGTTGATTCAGACAGTAATTATATCATAAATTCCAATGTAGCCTATATAAATGTTACGAAGTGTTTTTAAATAATTCTTTCTTAGTTTTTTGTCATTAAACTGTGAAACTTATGTACATTTTGTAGATAAAAATAGGTGCTCATTTTGTTCTTTACTGCTCTCAGAAGTTAACAATACTTAGAATGATGTTATTTTTAAAGATAAAGAAACAACTTAGGGGCCCCGGAGGTGTTGCCTAGTGGCTAAAGTCCTCACCTTGAACATTCTGGGATCCCATATGGGTGCTGGTTCTAATCCCGGCAGCTCCACTTCATCCAGCTCCCTGTTTGCGACCTGGGAAAGCAGTCGATGACGGCCCAAAGCCTTGGGACCCTGCACCCATGTGGAAGACCAGGAAAGAGGTTCCTGGTCCCGGCTTTGGATCAGTGCAGCATCGGCCTTTGTGGTTACTTGGGGAGTGAATCATGGGACGGAAGATCTTCCTCTCTGTCTCTCCTCCTCTCTGTATATCGGATTTTGTAATAAAAATAAATAAATCTTAAAAAAAAAAAAAAGAAAAAAAGGAAACAACTTAGGGCCCCGCACAGTAGTCTAGCAGCTAAAGTCCTTGCCTTGAACGCACTGGAATCTCATATGGGCACCAGTTCTAATCCCAGCAGCTCCACTTCCCATCCAGCTCCCTGCAGTGGCCTGGGAAAGCAGTCAAGATGACCCTAAGCCTTGGGACCTTGCACCCATGTGGAAGACCCAGAATAGACTCCTGGCTCCTCGCTTCGGATCAGTGTAGCCCTGGCAGTTGTGGCCTATGGGAAAGTGAATCAATGGACAGAAGATCTTCCTCTCTGTCCTCCTCTTTGTACACCTGACTTTCCAATATAAATAATAATAATAAAAAAAGAAAACAACTTAATACAAAATTACACAAATGTGTTGAGGTTTAAGAACAGTGAGGCAACCTTTGAGGAATAATACCTGCTACCAGTTTCTATTTTTAACCAGCAGAAATATCTTTAGGAACAAATCCACATATTTAGCAGAATAGACAATAGAACACTTAGATGGTAATATTTTCTGCTACTTCCAAATTTCTTGTATTTCTTGCATTAGTCACCAAACTTACATCTTCCACTTATGCAGTCTAATTTATTTGTACCTCCAAGAGGAAAGTATTTGATGGCTCTAACAGAGTCAATTATAGTACAGTTCTAATATTCTAAATGAAAAATGTACTTATAGCATACAAACTTATTATTGCAATAAAATGCTGAGGCTACTGCTCCTAGGTTAAAATTTCATTTCCCAGGACAAAAAGTTATTAGAAGATTTATGAAGAGTATAAAATAAGGGAAAACAACATATAGTATAAACAGCAAAATGCTCAAAGCAGAACAAGGTAGATTTTGAAATGTGGTAATAAAGGTATATACACATAATGGAATATTATTCAACTCTAAAAGTAAGGGATACCGTTATATGATACAACATTGAGGCTAATACGTTAAATGAAATAATTTAGAGAAAGCAAAACACTATATGATTATACTATTATAGAAATAATTAAAGTAGAAAGTTTCTTTAAGATGAATAGTAGATTTGTACTTAACAGAGATTTGGGAGGGAGAGTAAAGAAGAGTTGATTAATGGTTTTAGAATTTCAAATCTGCAAGATGAAAAATTTCAAGGATTGCTTTACAACAATTTACTACCGAACTGTACACTGAAAAACTGCTTAAGATAGTAAATGTTTCTTTTTCCTGTATTTTTGGCTACCAATATTAGCAAAAGACACTAAAGACATGATAATAAAAGATGCCCTGAGGGGCTGGCACTGTGGAAACAGCAAGCAAAGTTGTGGCCTACTGTGCTAGTATCCCATATGGGCACCAGTCCCAGCTACTTCACTTCTTTTTTTTTTTCATTCTTTGATTTAAAATTGTTACTATTATTTTCCATGATGCAGTTTTGTAAATATAGGGATTTCCTCCTTCCCCTCCCCTTATTCCCTACCCATTATGCCTTCCCACCATAGTCCTTTAGCAACAGTTACAAGTTTAACATTCTGCCATTTAAGTGTACCAAGGCATTGCAGATACAGGCTAAGATAGAAAATCCAGTATCATAGTGTCAAGGTATTTTAATTGATTGATTTATTTTATTCAGGAATAGAGATGCTTACTACAATGTAACTTCACTTTCCAGTATGCTAGTCTCCAATATACAGTTCCGCTATGAGAAAATATATATATACCTGTTTACCTACACATCTGTTTCATACTTTGTATAAAGGCTGTCTTTTGCATAAAGGCTGTCTAGTCTTAGAAAAAAAAAACATGATATTTGTCCTTTTAGGATTGGCTTATTTCATTAACATAATGGTCTCCAATTGGGACCAATTTATTGCAAATGGTAGGATTTCATTCTTTTTAATGGCTATGTAGTATAAGATGGGCTACTCCGGATTACCTTCTTGATGATGCGTATCCTGAGAGGTAGTGGAAGATGGCTCAAATACTTGGGTCCCTGTCACTTACACAGCAGTCCCAGATTCTGTTCCAGGCTCCTACCTTCAGTCTGGTCCATGCCTGTCTCTTGCAAGCACTTGGGGAGTAATCAATAGATGGAAGACTTATGTCTGTCTGCTATCTCTTTTGTAAAATAAACACAAACTTTAATAAACTTTACATATTTGAAACCTATGCTTCCTTATTACTAAATTTCTTGTAATTTCTTCCTTACTACTAAGTTTTTTTTTCATAAAAGTGCGCCTTTAATTTAATCACATTTAACATTATGAAAATTATTGCTTACATAGATATTTATTCAAAGTTAATTTTTTATTCTACACAGTGATTTTCATATATTTATTTTAGAGAATGCGAAACGTGTTGGAACAGCATTCTTTAATTTGCTAAGTTATACAATTATTCCCTTAATTCACAAATAAAATGAAGAATTTGACAATTAAAGCAAATATGTCTAACATTTGAAGTAGTATAAATGCACTATTCATTTATTTCTATAATAGTAACTGTTATATGTTTCCTCGGGATTAAATAAAAGACTTAGGAGTTTTAATATAACACATTAAATGCATCATGATCTTAACAAATATTTAGAGTGTTGGTTTACCAAGCCATTCATCTTTTTGTACACATAATTTATGGAAGAACACACTACCATGTAGCATATTAAGAAACAAGAAATTAACAAGAGCACAAGAATATCAAACTTGAAAAGAATAACCACAACAAAGACAGCAGAAGTTAATTCTTCTTTTTTTTTTAACAAGAATTATCACTGAGTCACAGATTAAACTGGAGTTAAGTACTCAGATCCATCTCCCCACCTTAGCACATACTGGTTCTTGTGGGAGGACTACTCACTGAAAATCATGGATACTATGCAGGGCTGTACAGGAGGTAGTAACACTGATGAAAGCTCATTAAAAAATCTAAAATCTTACTGTTTTATTTACTACAATTCTTTTTAAAAAGTGAATATATTCATATTTAAAATTTTAAATTTTCATTTTATTTAAAAGGCAAACAGGCAGAGATTATAGAGGTCTTGAATCTACTAGTTTGCTCCCCAAATATCTGCAATAGTCAGGCAGAAGTCAGAGGCCCCAATTGCATGTGAATCTCCCCTGCAGATGGCAGGGATTTACGTTCATGGGCCATTACTTGCTGCTTCCTGGAATATACATTAGCAGGAAGCTGGATGGAAGGTGGAATAGCCAGGCAGCAAACCTGCCAGTCTGAGATGGCAGGCCTATATCCTCAGCACTAACTGCTGTGTTAATGTTTCTTCTTAATTTTAATTTTGGTTAGATTCTTTGTGTAAACCATCCTCTAGTTAAATTTGGCACTAAAAATGAAAACACCAATAAGTCTTGTTTTTGAGATTCTCGAGACATTTCATACATTTGATAGCAAAAGATTTGCTGAATACGCAAAGCCAATTAGGAACAAAATTCTGGTGTGGAGATTGTGAGGGTTCAGTGTATCATCTGAAACCAGGCTGTGCCATTTTAAAGTATGATGCATGCTTTCACAGCAAATTACTTACTTCAGCACTATCCTGAACAGAAGAGCTGTTGTTATAATGCTAAAATTTGAGAACAAAACAGCCATGGCCTAGAAAGAAAGAAAAGATAGAGTTACAATCCAAAGAAAGTACTGACCTCAAAAGTCTCCCAATTTGGTGGTTCACTTGACAAAAAAAAAGAAAAAAAAGCATTTTAATGGCATTAAATTTTGTAGTCAAAAACCAGACAGTTTATCAGGGCAACTGCTTCACTTAAGGCTTAAATTCCATTTTTATTGCTTGTTAAATTTATATAGATATGGTCAATTTATTGTGCAGGTTTTGGTATGTGTTGAAAGCCAAGTAGCACTTTGTAAGTAATCCTTAAGTGCAGATTTTAAAAAATCCACAAATTTCAAAGTGTAGGTCTAAAATATTTACTATGTTTATTAATCATATTTTTAAAGCTCTCAAAAGGTTTTACAAACTTTTAATACTGCTTCTATGGGTACACAGCATATGATGGGCCCTCTTACACGGTTAAAAACAAATGAGACATAGTGTTAAGCATCTTTACTGTCCCAGGAACTGAGCCAGTTTTCCAGGATGAGCAGACATGACACAGTAACAAATTCACACTTGACAGTTCTTTGGATTGTTAAGGTTGCTCTAAAATCTACATCTTTATTTTGGTGCAAAAATATCATCGAAATCCATGTATATGAGGGCTCTTCAAAAAGATCATGACATACTATGAGAATTCTAGACAACTGCCAGTGAACTCTATTAGAAGAATAAGAGGAAGTGAGGAAAGAAGCTGCAAGAGTGGCAAGTAGTGGCCCTACAGAATCATACAAGTGCTGCACAAACGCACCTAGCCAAGGAGCCCGAATGACCTGAAAAGTTCTGAAAACCCTCTCATGCAACAGCATAGAATAAGTAAAACATCAGCGCTTTTTGCCCCAAACCTTCCATTATCTCTACTTAATTCCTTATATATACCGAGGCACAGAATTCAACAGAGTAGGTCACATGATTTATTTTGTAATATCTGTGGCTGCACACAAGCAGGAAGGAAGAAAAGAAGTTAGCTGGAGGCAGACTGAAGGAAATTGCAATGTGGATATGGTACTAAGCGGTGCTGCAAAAGGCTATTTAGAACGAATCTGTTAGTTACAACAAATGTTTGTTCACTGAATGTGAGTAATGAGTTCTTTAGTTAAATTTTATTTTTTATGTTGTTTACACAGTTGACAACGGCTCACACCTGTGAAGACCAATGATCAGGGAGGGGAGGGCTGAGGTATGGGGGAAGTTGCTGTGGGTTACAAGTGCTTCCACTGCCTTTTCTTCCTTCTCCTGTATCGGGAGGGGGTAGGGGGAAGCCCCTCTATTCGAAAAATGATGTTTTTAAGCATAAGAATTCTCATATTAGAAAACAAAATGGAAACAAGAATTTAGGAGAGCACACGTTGTAGCTGGGCTTAGGGCTGACCAACCACATGGATCACTTCTGACATTCAACATGCCCAGGATCCAGTCTTTGAGCTGATCTATTATTATTCTATTTTTTCAGATGGGATAACCAAAGCAGTGCAGTTGGAGCCTACCCAGTTACACAACTTTTTAATTGTGAAAAAGTGGAAAAAGTGTCAACTTACATATTTTACTATGGTGTTCTCCCAAGTGCTCTTTTCATCTTACTTTAAAATTGATCCAGTTATTTCTAAGGTACACCTCGTTTTACTTTGCCTTTGTATTTGTGCAGATGTGGTATTCTTTTATGAAAGATGGGTAATTGTATATTAAGGCTACTGGTGCTAATTTTCCAACAGCATGTGTTCATGTCATGTCACTGTGTCACATTTAGTAATTTTAGCAAGATTTTAAACATTTCCATTTTTTAAAAATATTAGTTCTGGTAGATCTATAATCAGTGATCTTTGATGTTAACTATTACAATTACTTTGAGAACCATGAGTCACATTCACATAAGATGGTGAATGTAACTAAAAACATGTGTCTGATTATTATATCAACTGGATGCTTCCTTGTCTTTCTTTCTCCTCAGACCTTCCTATTGCTTGAAACACAATATGGAATTAGGGCCCATTAAAAACCCCCAAATGGCCTTGATATGACCAAGTGAAAGGAAGAGTACAAATCTCTCACTTCAACTTGAAAGCTAAAAGTCATTAAACTTAGAGCAGAAGTCACAGCAAATTACCCAGAAAATATAGCTAGAGAACTAACAAAGGTGGGACTGGCATTGTGGCACAGCAGGTAAAACTTCTACTGCAATCCCAGGTGTCAGCTTATGTCCCAGCTCCTCTATTTATTACTATTACTATTATTATTATTATTATTTTATAATACAATTCTGTAGGCTCTAGGATTTCCACTCCTCCCTTCCAAACCCCCTTCCCCAATTGATTTCCCCTATATTATTACAGTAGTATAGTCCTTCATAAACAATCACATGTTCATCAATCTGCTATTTAAGTATATCCTGACACTGTAGGCATGGACAGCAACACAGAGTCCAGCATCCTATTGTCAGGATACACTCAACAGCTTCATTAGAAGTCCATCTTTGATTTGGAAGTAGAGGTGCACACTGCACTGTATTTTGACAACTGTGACAGTCTCTACTACACACTACTCACAGCTCCCTAGCACTAAGGGAAATTCAAATAAAAACCACACAGAGATTTCATTTAACCCCAGTGAGATTGGTATACACAGAGAAAACAACACCTGCTGGTGAGGATGTGGGCAAAAAATGTACCCTACTTCACTGCTGGTGGGACTATAGACTGGTTTAGCCACTTTGGAAGTCAGTATGGAGAAAACTTGGGCAACAGAAGATTCAACTACCATATGACCCAGCAATCCCACTCTTGGGAATACAAACATACATACATACATATATATATATATATACTATACATATATATCTCATATAATTTATATTATATAAAAATGATATATAATATATATAATATACTATAAATAAAAAATACATAAATTGATACATACACATGAGAAAGCAACCTGCACCCCTATAGTCATTGCAGCACAACCAACAATTGCAAAAACATGGAAGCAACCTAGATGCCCATTGAAAGAGAACTGGATAAAGAAACGTGGTACAACTAGTCCATGAAATACTACTCAGCTATTAAAAACAATGAAATTTACCATTTGCAACCAAATGGTCCCAACTGCAGATCATTATGCTCAGTGAAATGAGCCAATCTCCCAAGGACAAATAGCATACGTTCACTCTAATATAAGACAGCCTCCATTGAGAATGCAAAATAAAAACTAAGGTAAATAAAAATATACTTGTAATCTCACAAAGGATGTAATGGAAACCAGAGTACCTGGAGTCAAAGAAAATTGACAGAATGCATCTGTACAACTGGATAAAAGTAGATGCCCCAATAAAACTTCTAAATATACCTAGACAACACAGTATTAAACCTTCTACCCTTGCTTATGCCAACAGTCTCATGATCCACATAAAGAGCAAAAAGTTGGAGTCAAGCCTACACTTGATAAGACTGTTTTACTACAAAACACAAGGGACATTGCAGGGACATACTATCAATGTCCTTTTTAATATTGTTTTTGCTACATTTCATGGGTTCTGATATTTTTATTTTCAATTTAATTTCTTCAAAAAAGTTTCTTTTTTTTCTTTATTAACTTTTTTAGTGACACACAGGTCATACAGTAGCATCGCTATCTTCAAGGTTTTTGATATTTTCTATTTCTTCAGCGACATATTGGTTATTCCGTAGCATGTTATTTAACTTCATGTTGTAAATTTTCTATTTTTCTCCCTATTGTTGATTTTATTTTATAGCTTTTTATTTAAGGGAAAGTATAGTAACTGTGTAACAGAACCTACCATAACCAGTTATGAGGATGTAATGCAGTATGCATTACTATTTTCAAATCAAAGATGAACTTGCAAAGAAACTGTTAAATGTCTTGACAATAGGATGCTGGACTCTCTGCCACTGTCCAGCTCCTCTACTTCTGATCCAGCTCCCTGGCTCACGGCCTGGGATAAACAGTTGAAGAGGGTCCAAGTGTTTCAGGCACCATCACATATGTAGGAGACCTGGCTGAAGTTCCTAGTTCTTGGCTTCAGCCTGGCTCAACCCTGGCCCATGTGGCCATCTAGGCAGAGAACCAGCAGATGGCAGATCTCTCTGTGACTTTCCCTCTCTCTATGTAGGTCTGATTTTCAAATAAATAAGTCAGTCTTTTACAAAGGAGAACTAACGTGGAGCAAACAAATTGAGACTGGAAAAAGATACTGTCGCGACATTAGTAGCCAGAAAGAAATCAACCTGCAGATGCATTTTAGGATTTCTTTTGGGGATGTTTTGGCATAGAGGATTAAACAGCTACCTCTAGTGTTGGCAGCCCATACAGGCACCGGTTTGAGTCTTGGCTGTTCTATTTCTGATCTAGCTTCCCGCTAATGTACCTAGGACAGCAGCAGAGGATGGCCCAAATCCTTGGACCCCTGTGCCCACATGAAAAATCTGCAACAAGCTCCTGGCTTTGGGCAGGTCCAGCCCTACCACTGCAGTCATTTAGGGAGTGAACCAGCAGCTGGATGATCTCTCTCCCACTCTTCTTCTGCAATTCTGTTTCACATACATAAAAGATACCTTTCAACATATAACTGCTCATTGACAATTCATTTCACTACCCAAGAGTTCATCACTGATAGAGATGTACTAGGAACTTAATGCTGTTTCTTAACAAAAATTCCAGTTTTATGGCACACTGGTCAGTTTTATTCTGCAAAGCTATATTGGCCATGAATAATTCTTCCAGTGGATCTGAGCAAAATGAATTGAGTAGCTTCTGGAATGGATCCACCAAGCCAGACATCATTAGGAAAATTTGTGATTCATGGGAAAAGGTCAAAATGTCAACAGTCACAAGAGTTTGGAGAGTGTATATTCAATTCTCACGGATGATTATGATGGGCTCAAGACTCCAGAATAGAAAATAACTACAGGTGTGGTGAGGATGGTAAGATAATTAAAACTAGAAGGTTCTGAAGATGTGACTGAACTATTGCAATCTCATGATTAATCTTGATGAGGAGTCGTTCCTTAAGGAAGAGCAAAAAAGTGGTTTCTTAAGAAGTACTTTACTTCTAGTGAAGAGGCTGTGATCATTATCAAAGCGACAAGGAAGGATTTACAATCGCATAAACTTGGTTGCCACAGCACCAACTGGGTTGAAAGGACTAGCTACAATTTTCAAAGAACTTTTATAAGTAAAGTTTAGCGAACAAACTATATTCCATGTTGCAGAGAAATCTGCCATGAAAGGAAGAATCAAAGGATACAGTAAACCTTATCGCTGTTATTTTGGGAAATAGCCAGAACCATCCCAGTCTTCAGCAAACATGACCTTCCTTGATCAGTAGCTATCAACACTGAGATGAGGCCCTCAAGCAGCAAAAACAGAACTCACTGAAGATCAAACTACCCCTCCCTTTTTTTTTTTTTTAGCAATAATATATTATTTAAAGCTTAGGTTACAAAGATACCTTCCACCTGCTGGTTCGCTTCCGATTTGCTTGCAAAGGCCAGGAATGTGCCAGGCCAAAGCCAGGGCCCATGGCTTCTTCTAGGTCTCTCATGTGAGTGCAGGAGTCCCAAACACTTCAGTCATCAACCTCTGTTTTCCCATGCACATGAGCAAAGAGATGGATCAGAAGCGAAAGATCTGAGAATGAAATCAGTGCCCTTATGGGATGCCTGAATCTCAGGTGGCAACTTCACTTGCTCCGTCACAATACCAGCCCTAGCAATAACATAGTTCTAAACTGAGGTATACATGTTATTTCTTCTTTAAGTCATGATGCTTTCATGTACTTGACAGACCACAGTACAGTGTAATTTTTGAATGCACTGGGAAACTCAAAAGTTGTGTGACTTGCTGGGTTTGTGATGCAAATTCTGTCAGGGTAGTGTGGAATAGGACTTGTAGTATTTCAAGATAAACCCAGGCTTCATGCAGAGGACTAGTGCAAAAAAAAAAAAAAAAAAAGAACAAACAACAACAACAAAAAAACCTATGCATGCTTGATTTTAGTTTTAAGGATACCCATGACAAATTTAAGCAATAAAATCTTCATTTCATAGAACTGAATATAAATCTTAATTTTATTGAATTCTGAGGAAATACACATGTGACTCAAACTAAGAAACAGATGTAAGACTAAATGCCAATTCTGATTGCTAATGGCTTTCCAAAATGACAAAGATGATGCCAACAAAGATGAGAAATATTCCTAGCATTACCAATTGTCGATGACATTTAAAACTAGGAGGACACAATCTCTACCCTCAAAGAATTGGTTGCTTAAAATGGTAGAAATAATAGCACACAAATATGCTGTAATAGAACAAGTGAATGAATGAGAGGTAGAGAGTGTAGGGTGTTCTGAATTACCCGTGGGCATCTGCTTGGAGGTTCTAGATGGTGAGAGAGGCTAGGAGCACGATGGCTCGGAAGACGGACTGACTAGGGATATAGCAGGAGGGCTGACTTCATATCCCAGGGAGCCACTGCCATAGAGCACTCAGTGCAGCTTAATGTGTTCATCTATGGCAAGGATAGAAATTAGTAGGCAGACTCACAATTCAGTACTCACATGTTCTGAGGAAAAATTAAAGCAACATCAGAGAAGGGTATGAGAAACTAACAATGCCAAGGAAATTGAGAAACGAGGATTAGTTTTGGAACTCATGTCCCTGTATCTTTTTAGTAGTATTTTCATCATGATAATTACTTACAGGCTGAAGATAGGACAGAATATAGAAGACAATCAAGTTATCCACGAAATAAAGAAAGGCAGGAATGGACCACTTCATAAAATTAAAGAATTCCTTCCAGGAAGCACATCTTGAATTTCTACTTTGATGATCTTCTAAAGAAAGAAATTTAAACATAAGTAAATGATCTTGATGACACCCTATTTTTCAAGAAGAGTGCATTCTGTTGATTGCTGTACAATTCTTTAAAAAGAGGTTTTGTAAACTTGCTGTGATAACAACCAGCCTAAAGAAATCAAACAAGGGATTTCCTTAATGTCTCTCTTTAAGCCACTGCAATATCTAAAAAAAGACAATTAGTGACACTGATTATCTTAATTTTTGTGAACTTGAGGTAGTGAAAAATATCATTTAAGACAATGTACACATGATTCAGGCTATGTACACATGGGTTCAGGCTATGTACACATGGCTGTACATATGGATTCTCTAACTACCTGAAGAGTAAACTATCAAGAGGAAGGTTAACAGGTTAACAACTTAAGGTAAGCTAAGCTCCTCTCTCCCCCTGTGTGTGTGGGGGAAACACTTCATGCTCAGGGATGGCATCTGACATAGTGGTTTAAGACTTCTTCATGGGCCTGGCACGATGGCTCAATGGTTAGATCCTCTCCGTGCAAGCACTGGGATACCATATAGGCACGGGGTTTGTGTTCCAGTGGCTCCACTTCCCTTCCAGCTCCCTGCTTGTGGCCTAGGAAAGCAGTAGAGCATGGCCCAAAGCCTTGGGACCCTGCACCTTGGGAGACCTGGAAGAAGCTCCTGGCTCTGGATCATTCAGGCCCTGGTCATTGTGGCCATTTGGGGAGTGAACCAGCAGATGGAAGATCTTTCTCTCTGTCTTTCCTTCTCTCTGTAAACCTGATCTGTTTTTCCATCAAAGTAAATCTTAAAAAAGAGAGAGAGAGATTTAGAATTTTCTCCCCAGGAGACAGGGGAAAGGAGACACTAAGTAGAAATTTTTTTTATATTAACCTAGATAAAATTTACTAATTCTAGTGTGAAATATTAGTTCATTTCCAGATGTAAAAAAAAAAAATGCAGGCAATTACAACAGAGATGGAGAGAGAAAACAAAGGCAATGGGGCCAGCATTGTGATTACAGCATGTTAAGCCATCACCAGCATCAGTATCTTGAGCACCAAGTCAAGTCCCAGCGACTCCACTTCTGATCCTGCTACCTGCTAAGTACCCAGGGAAGGAGAAGATGGCCTAAGAGCCTGGATCCCTGGTTACCCAGGGACCAGGAATGGGACCAGAATTGTGTAACAGATTGGTCTGGCTTCAGATTGGTCCAGTTTTGGCTACTCCTCCCATTTGTTGGGGAATGAACCAGCAGATGGAGGATTTCTCCCTTTCTCTGTAACACTGCCTTTCAAATAAGTAAATCTTTAAAAACATACAAAACAAAAGCTTTAAGCTTAAATCCTACAAGTAATACATGAGATTCTTGAGGTAAAATGTAGTCTACTAATGAGAAACTGTACAATTTGAAACCTTTGAATATAAAAAAGCATCTTCTTGGGCAAGCATTTTCTTTTTTGAACTTTTAAGATTCATTGACTTGAAAGGCAGAGTAACAGAGATCTTCCATTCACTGGTTCACTTTCCAAATGATGGCAACAGTTGGGGCTGTACCAGGCTGAGGCCAGGAGTCAGGAACTCCATCCAAGTTTCCCGTGTAGGTGGCAGGCACTCCAGTACCTGAGCCATTATCTGCTGCTTCCTAGGCATATTAGCAGGAAGCCAGATGAGTAAGTAGTATAGTAGCTGGAACTCGGACTGACATTCTGATACAGCATCCTCGGTCCCAAATAGTAGCTCAACTTGCTGTACCACAATGCCAGCCTCTCAGGTAAGCATATGCTCTAAATTCTATTCACATCAATGTAAAGGTAAATCAAAGAGACAAAGAGAGCTGTAGCTCAAAAACTAGGGAACTAAGATGGAGAACAAACATTCCACCAGAGGCCAAATACTGCACACTTGAAGATGGTGTAGTGCCTTCATCTTAATGGTTCTTTTCCAGAACATCTCTGACTCCTGTGCACTACGCTGCCTTCCTCACATAAAATACTTAGAACTGTAACATGATATCTATTAAATCAGTGATTCAAGAAACCCTGAATCTAAATAAAAACTTTCTTGCTGTGCAAAACCATCACAGAAAATTCCCCTCATGGATTACACCTCACAAGTATTTCCTTTGGTGTCAGGATATTTCCTTTATATTTCTTACTATACTGGCTGTGACTTTTCTACTCAGCTCTGCATGACACTTTGAGTCTGTTACTCCACCCATATGTTGTATCATAGCTTCCTTTCTTATAAAAATCAAGGGACTAAATGATATGAAGTATTCCTGCCAGTTCTAACATACTTTGTTTCTGAGATTTTTAGCAAGTATATGTAGCATTTCAAGACTCACCTTTTCTTATGAAACAGAATGAGATGAATATACACAAAACCAGCTTCACCAGTTCTGAGCACACATTCACAGTAGTTGGAAGGTAATCATACTTGCTGTCTGAAATACAACAGAAAAAAAATTAATGCTGGTTATACTGAGTATCTTCCAATTGACACTGCTCTTCGGATTTCTGAATAACCAATTCATTTAATATATTAGCTATCCCTATTCTAGTCAGCTTTTTAAAAATTTTATTTGCATTGGAATGTTAAATATACAGAGAAGAGGAGAGACAGGGAAGAAGATCTTCCATCCGTTGATTAACTCCCCAAGCGAGCACAGTGGCCAGAGCTGTGCCAATTTAAAGCCAGGAGCCTCCTCCAGGTTTCCCACATGCGTGCAGGGTCCCAAGGCCTTGGGTCTTTGTTGATTGGTTTCCCAGGCCATAAGCAGGGAGCTGGATGTGAAGTGGGACCACTGGGATTAAAACCGGTGCCCATATGGGATCCCAAATGCATGCAAGGTGAGGATTTTAACTGCTAGGTTACTGTACCAGGCCGTCTAGTCAGCTTTTTATTAACTTTGAACATGATAAACATGTTCTCATCCTTTTGTATATGCTGCTAGCATGCTGAAGATATCAGGTGCTTTTGAGAAATGCAGTTTTCTTGCTTCTGAAAACATTTTCTTATCTCTCTAGCTCATACTAAAAGCAAACTGGTCAAGTATAGAGGAAAAAAGTGACTATAGATTTCCTCTGTTAAGAAAGCTCTTTCTTCCTTTTTTGTGGCTTCCCTTGATCTCCACCTAAGCAGCATTCAAGTCTTTACTGTTGTTCCTATAGCACAACCTTTTATAATAGTAACAACACATTGTGTTATTTTGTCTCACGTTAACCTTGGAATGTAAGGTTATGTGCAAGGCCCCATGTTAACCCACACATGTGGCACTTCAAGCCCTGTAGTTAACATAGGTTCGCCTGAATTTAAATATAAACGTGCTGGTCTTTCCCATCAATTCCCAGCTTAACTATATCATCTTCCTTTCTGAGCTCAAAACTAGACATATCTGATTATCATCCAGGCATACATTTCACAATCTTTATCAGGACACACAAAAGCCAACATGTAGATAAAAGGGTGAGGGGCTCTAATTACAATGTTGAAATCCTTGTCACTATTCTTCAGGCTTCTGTGTTTGTCCCTTGTAGTGCTCTCATGGATGGTCCAAAACCATGGGGCCGAAGGACGTGTGACCTCCACCCCCTCATCTACCCATCCTCACAAATCCTCATTGCATCTGTCTGTACTGGCTTCAATCCCGAAGAAAGCACTATGGTCTTCTCCAGTTTACCATTCTCCCCTCCTCAGGAATTCGCTGTTAGAAGGATTTTCTGTGCTTCAATGTATTTCTTTTATATTTTGTATAACCGGCTTCTTGCCATGGGACTACAAACATGGTCAAAACTCTTAATGTGGCTAAACAGACAACTACTTCCTGTGCCCACTATACCTTCTCCTTGTCAACAGAAAATGGTGTCAGCATTCATTACCTCTGACCACTTTTCATTTAGATCTTCTCCCTTATTAGCCCTGTCTCTGTTTTTATTACTATACTCAAACTAGCTACTCTGAGATTATCAGCCACCTTCTAATTATGAATCTCAAAGGACATGTTTTAATCCTTATTTCATCGTATTATACTATATGGTTTTCACACTATTTCCAGGAGTGATGTGCATTTAATTTCCTCATTCCTCACATACATGATGTATTGGACAGCACAGAAAATGTAATGAATGAAGACAGCGGTCCTGGCCTCGCGGAGGCACAAGCTAACTCTATAACCTCTCTGAACTGTCACTGTCCTGCTCTTCCTCCTGGTCATCGTCATCTCAACAGAAAACATCACCAATTCACTCAGCCCTCAAATCAGAAACCTTAAAGCTATCCAGTTATTTTATCTCCTTTAATTCCCAACATCCAATACATTCTCCAAATCGCAGTTTTTCTCTTCTGAATATTTTCCAAGTCTATCTTGACTATTCTTACATATAAAGCTCTAAAGTCTTTCCTGTTTGTGGTTTGAATTTCCAATAAGGCACCCCACTGGCTACCCGTTTCAGATCTCTTTTTTACCACCCACCTGCCATAATGGCATCTCATTTTAATTTATTATTTCCAATTCTTGAAGTATTTCTTACTTTCCAGACTGTAGACTGTGGCAACTAAAGCCTCAGCTCTTTATCATGGCATAGAAAGTCCTTTAACAGTCAACGTTACTTCCTTCCCCAGTCAGGACTCCATGTCTCTCTCCAGGCCCTTAATTTTTCTTTAAAATTTTGAACTCCATGTTCTCATAATATATGCTGTTTTCATGCCTTCATTGCTTTTTATAGGCTGCTGCCTGTTTATAAATACCTTTCCCTACTTTATCTTCTTGTGGATCAAAAATGGTCATCTAACCAGGGAAGGCTTCCTGATCCTTGTGCATCCAAACCATCTCCCTCTCCCCGAAACAGAACACACTACTTCTTCCTCTCCACTACTTCTGCTTTTCTATATACATTTCTATTATTACCTAGTGAAAAATACCTAATCATAGTCATGTGGGATTAAAAGCTTAATGCCACAAAATCCAATTTAATCAACCAAGTTACTATATTTAAAAATAGAAAATTTCTTGAGCATATTCTTATAATAAATCTTAATCATCTATATTGTTGTACTGATACAATTATGATAGGAGCCAACAAAGACCAAGTTAACAAACAAATATAGCCTGCAATTTGCTTTAAAATAAGGTACAATTAGCACAATGATGGATTTGTAACTGTTGTTGCGGGATGCCACTAATTTACTAATATGGCCAAAAGCAGTGGCAGAAAAGGGAAGCAGTGGCAGAAAAGGGAAGGTTGAAAGGGGAGATTCCTAAGCCTATGGAACCATACCATAAAAAAATTCTTTTAAAAAAGCTTTAATTATGTATCTTGCTATAGGCTGGCAATATCTGGTGACTGCTACAACAGTCAAAGGTTATGATTTGCTTTGCCCAAGAGGTTTGGATTCTTGAATGATCAAAATTTCATCTAACGTCAACTTTCATTTTTCTTTTGTTGTAAGTAAAACCTTAAAGAATCAAACTTGGGTCTATGCATGGGGTCCTCGTGCCTCTGCAGCTCCAGTGGCGACAGAGGTAACTCCAGATTTGGCCTGTCTGGAGTAATCTTAATCCTGTATGCTCAACAGGAGCATTGGGCGACTTCAGGGGGCGTGCACACACAGGGTCCTCTTGCCTCTATACATCCCGTGAAAGCAGAGGGGACTCCAGACTGGGCCTGGTAGCAACCTGCTCTAGGGACTTGGGCACGTGGGCTTATATGGGGTATGGACTATGATGGCACAAATGAGACTGACTGGGGCCTCAGGATTCACGTCCAGGAGAGGAATGACTACTGAGGGACATTCATGGACAAAGCCACTGTACTTTCAGGCAAGTGAGGGTGCTGAGACCAAGTGGTTCAGAGGTGAGAACAGAGAGACCTTTCAAGGTCAGTCTGAAGCACCAGCACACATAGGAGACCTGAGCTGGGGTAGGTAGCATCAACCATCACCGAGCACCACTCCCTGGCACACACTAAAGCCAAGGCTGGGGCATACCTGACAGGACAAGATCACAGTACCCACAAGTGAGAGTCAGAACAGGGAAAGGGTGAAGCTAGGTTCGGACATAACAATAACTAGCATGTGAGAGAATTGAGTCTGGTGGCAGAATCTGTGGGGGATATGTGGGCTCACCCCCATGGAACTGCAACCTCTGCTGGCATGCCTAAAAAATGTGGATGGGAACAGGCCTGGCTGGGGAATTAAGGGGATACCTCAGCTGGGTTGGGGGTTCCCACTGGTGAGCATGAGAGCTGGACTAAGGGCAGCAGGCTGGGCTGGATGTGGCTACAGCCTCTCTCAGTGCGGGTGTGGACTGGGTCTAGGAAGTGCAAGACTGGGCTACACTCTAGAACCCACTGGTACTCGTGACAGCCAGGTTGGGCATAGAATGGGCTGGGCTAGGTCTTGTTCCCTGCTGAACCACACAAAAATTGTGTATGGCATGGAACAGGTGTAGCTGAGCTGCAACACCTAACAGTAAGAACCAGAATGGGTGTCAGCCAGGTGGGGAAGGCCACCATTCCTGCAAGGACAAGAGGTGGGCAAACCCAACCTGGGCCAAGCCCCGGGAGGAGACCAGATAGAGGACCTTGGGAAATTCCTTCATTAGGACTCAGTCCCTGCAGGTGAGCACAAGAATTAAGGCAAGGAGCAGCCCAGACCATTCCAGGTTACAGTACGCACTGGCATACATGTGGGTCATGTCTGGAGCAGACCAGGTTGGGCCAGTTCATAACATCCACTGGCAAACCTGAGAACCAGAACAGGGTGCAGGAGGGACAAGGTGCAGGAGGGGCCAGGTTCAGGCTGCAACACCAGCTGTTCACACTGGGCCTAGGACAGGGTTCTGGCTGTACTGGGCTAGGCTGCAGCACCCACCAAAGGAGCTGGAACTGGAGGCTTGCTGGACTGAGCCAGGCTGCACAATGTGATAGTGGATGCTGAAGTAATGCGAGCCATGCCAGATTGTGGACAGTAGTGCCACGTTCATGAGTCCCAGGGGCAGGGGATCCGGAGTGGCGAGGGTCAAATGCCCAGGTCGTGGGCTTAGCCTACTAGGTGGATGCCAGGTTTGTGAGCCCCCAGGGTTTTCGGAGTTGGCAGGGCCTGAGTTGCCTGGCCCAGTTCCTGGGGCCTGCCTGCAAGGCGGGTGCTGGATTCATAAGCCCCGGTGGTAGGGAATCTTGCAGGGCTCAGGCTGCCCAGCCTGGGGTTCCAGGGCCTGCAAGTGTGATGCCGGGTTCATGAGCCTCAGGGGATCAGGGATCTGGTGAGGTTCCAGTCACCTGCTCTGGATCCTGGGGCCTGCCTGAGAGCTGGGTGCTGGGTTTGTGAGCTCTGGGTACAAGGATTCCAGCAGGGCGTGGGTCACCTGGCCCAGGTCTTCGGACCTCCCTGCAAGTGAAAAAGGTGGAGCTGTGGATACAGACCCTGTTGCATGTGGAAAACATGGTAGCCATTTGGTATGGCAGCAGAGAAAGGAGAACAGAGTAAATTGGACAACTACCCCAGGAAATGATGACAGCAAAAATCTGGGTGGAGACTTGAGGTCGCCTATGTCAGTCAATGGACATTGGGATGATCGCCTCACCTTTGGATCGGTGAAATCAACAGCATTTCAGAGCTATCCAAACCATGTGGGCGGAAGTCTTGGAATATGTCCTACATTGGGGCCCTGGGGTGATAATGGGTAGCAGTTCCCCATCCTGGGTGCTGGCCCCCCAGAGCCAAGAAGAAATAGCAAATTTGGAAACAATGATTTTACCCACTTATCCCACCCACCTATCCCTTCCCACCCTGACCAAACATGTAATCATTAATCAAAAATAAAAGTTAAAAAACATCAAATTTAAACATGCTTTAATCATTCATACAAATGAAAAATACAAACATGTTAGTCCCATTCTATACACAATGATCCAGAGGACAGGAGAGCTAACACATGGTGCTCCACAGCTGCTCCAAGTCTACACTTACCTTCATTGGTGGAGTATTTTACCAGTAAGATGCGACTGGAACTTAAAGCAATGAATACGGCAGCGAGTACTGACGTATACATGGCTGAAGAGGGGCATATCTTGGGGTGACTGCAGCACTTTCGCTTCATTCCTCCGTTTTCAAATTGCTTTCAGGGCAAGAATGCTTCCCCGGGACCTTGTTGATAAAACCTCTGATGAACAAAAATGAGATTGTTTTTAAAAAAGTCTGGCTATGGATATCAATTAAAACCAAGACACACGAATGGTACAGGAGAAAGTATGAGGAATGAAAAATGAAAAAGCCAAATTCTTGTAGAAAATAGAGTAGAAATACTGTGCTTGCTTCAGCAGCACATACACACACACAAAAAAAAAAAACCAAGAAAAAAACCAATAGAATTAATTGCCAAAAGTAGCAAGAGAGGAAGAGACACTTTGGGACTGCAGAAAATCAATTAAGCTTTAGTTCTCCTAACTCTGCTACGCAAAGGATATTTCAATAATTGCATTCTCCTTCTTGTAGCAGCTCCTCCCTTGGCAGAGGAAAAAAAAGATTGTCAGGATTTTCGTGATAAGGACCAAAACGAAAAAGAAAAACCCGCTGTTCTTACAGGAGGCCGTGTGCTAAAACAGAAAGTATCTATGATCCTTTTTGAAGAGCTGAGAACAGGTAACCCGCAGGTGGGTAAGTACTTGCCCAGAGCCGACCAGCGTCTCCGCAGGGCGGCCACTCAGAGCCGGGGGCGGAAACCGGTGAGAAAAGCCCCAGGTGACAGCCAGCTGGCGCGTGCGCACAGGACTGCGACGAGACCCCGTCAATCCGCGAAACCCCGCCCATCTAAGAGAAGGGCAGCCCCCGCGAGACCCCGCCCACCTACGAGGAGTGCCGCCCCCCGCGAAACTCCGCCCATTACGAGGAGCACCGCCCCGGCGCGAAGACGCCCCGCCGCTCTGCAAAAAGACCCGGTCACTTGCAGGCAGCACCCTCTCCTACGCGGTGAGCCCGCCCCTTCGCGAGACTTCGTCCATCTACGAGCCCGCCCCTCCGCGAGATCCCGCCCATCTATGAGGCTCGCCCCTCCGCGAGATACGTCCATTACAAGGAGACCCGCCCCTCCGCGAGACCCCGCCCGTCTGTGAGGCCCGCCCCTTCGCGAGACCCCGCCCATTGTGATGAGACCCGCCCCTCTGGAAGGAGGCTAGGTTTTCCTCCCGTCTGGAAGCCCTCCCTTCACACATGCGCAGAGGCGATCGCTCCGGTGCACCCATCCCTGCCGCGCACGCGCAGCTCTCAGCCCGCGGGGCGCGGTTACCTCGGACTGGCGAAAACCTCCCGAGGGCATGCGCATCCTACGGCTGAAACAGTGAACTGTCTAGTCCCGGAGAAACAGCAGTATCTTTTAAGGAATTCACAGGCAGGAACTCTCTGGGAGGGAAACAAAGGCCAAAAAATCCCCTCCGCATCCACGTCTGTATTCCGAAACGAAAATCACGATAACCTCCCAGCTGGGAAAGAGCCGACGCGGCCCCCATTGCGCAAGCGCGTTCGGTCTCGCCGCTTCCGGGGGCGGGGCGACGGCGGCCTGGGCCCGCCCTGGCGTGGCCTTTCTCACGTCACGTGTCGGGAGGGAGGCCGGGGTCACGTGAGGCCCAGGTGGCGGCTGCGCTACGGCGAGAGAGTGGGAAAAGGAAGGGGAAGCCGGAAGGGGCGCGCGGGAAGCTCCCGGCAGGGGAAAAAGACAGTTGTCCCGGGGGCGAAGGGTGCGCGCTGCCCGCCCCTGTCCCTAGCTGCAGCCCGAGGCTCCGGGGCCTGTGTCGCGGTCGGGTGGCGGCGGGCCCCGCCTCCTCGGCCCGTTGGTGCCGTCGCGTCGCGTCCAGTCCCTCGGGCGCCGCCGGCCGGGTGTCTCTGACTCGGCTGTAGGCGGGGGACGTGGGCTTGCCCAGCTCCTGACCCGCCTGCTCTCTGCAGCCCGTCGCGGGGCCGGCCGTTCCTCCGGCCCCAGGATGCAGAATGTGATTAACACCGTGAAGGGAAAGGCACTGGAAGTAGCTGAGTACCTGACCCCGGTCCTCAAGGTAAGCGGGGCCGAGCCGGCCTCGGGTTCGGGGCTGTTTGCTGCCCGGAGTCGGTGTGCCCCGGAGGCGCAGGGTAGCAGACAGGCAGGTGCTGTCCCCGCCGCCGTCCTCCGGGGCCGCCTGGCTCCCCTGGGTGGACGTGGGGCGACGCTCCCGTGCGCGCTGCCGTGTCCACCGTCGCGGGTCTCCATGGGCTTGGCAGGTGGTCGGTCCCCGAGTGGATGTCACAACGGTAAACCTGACATCGGAAGTTTGGGAAACTTGGGCAGCCTGGGGTTTGCTATTATTTTTTAAAGGAGCAGATAATCGGTGTTTGAAACTGCAGTGACAGTCACTTTTTTTCCTTTCTGGTGTCCCCAAAAGTCTCTTAATTATACGTATGAAATGGGTAACTGGTGAGCGAGGTTCCACCTGCGGTAGATTTCACGGGAAGGTGAAACGGAACCCTTATCTCAGAGGCAGTGAACCCAGCTAAGGAGCGAAGCCTGCCTCTCCCCAGGCTTAGCCATAGCTGTTATTGGTTATTCATCTTGGCCTTCGCTGGGAAACGGGAACAGTTTGACCCTTCTGGATTACTGTGAAGACAACAAGTCCAGCGTTTCTAAAAAAATTGTGACATAGTAGCTATTACACCCGGGACTCCTTTCCAAACGACTAGTTTCTAGAACTGCCTTCAGATTTTTCTTTTATAACTCTTGGAGAGTTTTGTTGTAACTTCTGCCTTGTGGAGAGTGAGCAGTGATACCAAATAGCTGGCAAATTCTTGCCTTTTTTTAAAGCTTTAATTTAGAATTCTGTCAAACATGATGGGATGAAATACTCGATGCGAAGAGTTGTGGACAGTTTTATTTTGCTCCCTTTCAGTGTCACGAATATTGGATCAGTACATTTAAAAATTTTATTTATATAAACACTTTAAAGCGATACTTTTTTGGATCAAGTAAGAACAGCAATTATAAATGAGAATGCCACCTCTGTGTATTTGCTTACTGTGAAGGCAATTTCAGTTGATTATTCAGTTAACTATTTAAAACTTGAAGGTAATTTTAACAGTTGAATCGGATGCCTCTCTTACATATTATCGTGTTAACCTTTCAAAAAAATTTGTTTTGTTCATTTGAGGGGAAGATTTAGAGAGAGAAGGATAGAGAAGTCGTCCATCCACTGGTTCACACTGCAAATGGCCATAAACGCCAGAGCGGAGCTGATCCAGCCAGGAGCTTCTTGTCTCCCGTGTGGGTACAGGCTCCCAGGGGCATGGGCCATCCTTGCTGGCTTTCCTGGTCATACTCAGGGGCTGGATTCTAAGTGGAGCAGCCAGGACTCAAAGACATCACCAGCGCTGCAGTGAGAGGCTTAGCTGGCTAGGACACTGTGCTGCCCCCTGCCATGTTAACTTTAGTTTATCTACATGTGTATTAAGAGTTTTAATAATGCATCCTTGTGAAATTTTTGTTTAGTTTCAGGCAGAAATAAGCAGGACGCCTTTCAGATGAACTGTAACTTCCATAGCCCAGTTGTGTTTTACTGAATTTATGATAGAGGTATTTTTTCAAGAATCAGTTAGTTCTTCAGGAAACTGAAAAAAAAAAAAAAAAAGAAGTGTTAAGTATGTCAGTAGGTATTTTTTTAGTTTAAAGGAAAGCAGAATTAATGACCCTGTCCGTGTCAGTCCTGTGTAAACTATGAAGTTACAGGGAGAATTCTTAGTTTCCTGCTAGATGAGAGAAGACAAGGAGAAAAAAATCTTAAGGAAAGAAATAGTGGCCTTCCCCTACAAGTAAAAGTTTCAGGAAAATTTTGCTTTTTTGGGAATATGTATTGAAGAAAAGCCAGAATCCTTCTCCTGATGTTCAGGGCGCGCTCTCTGGTGGGTGGAGGCCCTGGGTCATCTCTGCGCTGGCCTGTGATCCCTTCCTCGTGCCACCCTCCCCGGCCCTGGGACCCCGTGCAGCACACGCTTACTCTTCCCGCACAGAGCCTTCTCTCCAGTGCCCATTACTAAGGTGTTCCAGTCCCCTTCAGAATTCTTTGTTCTTACCCTTCTGTTTTAAAATAGCTGTCTCTTCCCAGCTTCTCTCTACTGCGTTTTCCTGTCTGACTTAGTATCTATTACCAATATTAAAACCCTTCACAAGGTCAAGGATGTTTGGTCTATTCTATTCATACCTACCTCTCAGTGTTTTGATTAATGCCTGTCACATAGTAATTAGTAAATATTTGTTTAATGAGTAGTGTCCATAAATGGATCTCTTCATCCTTGTAGTCTCTATTGCAAAATCTAACGTGTAAAAAAAAGTTTCATTTAGTATAGAATTCTTGTTTAGACAGTGTTGTATCAATATCTCAGTGGAAATGAAAATGATAGGAACATGTTAAATGATTTCTACTTTCAGTTTCTAATATTGCATGGGATGAATTATAAAAGATGTTAACATGTTTAAGACATTTTTGCAAAGCTGTAAAATGTATTTGATTTTTACACAGAAGCACTGTGTAAAAGACTTCATGTTGATTTAAATACTTCTTTTGTTTGTCCATAGAGCCTTAGTGTGTAGCAACACTGATCAAATTGTGTTGAACTTATATTCATGTTTGTTTCCTACATTACAGTTGTGTGTTTCTTGTTGTCAGGGGTGTGTGTGTGTGTGCGTTTTGTATTTTCTCCATTTCCCTGGATGGATACCAAGCAATATGTTTGCTCCTCAAATATGTTTCAGCTGGAGGTGAAAGGTGATGTAATACTTGCTCTTTTTGCTCTGTTTAGGAATCAAAGTTTAAGGAAACAGGTGTCATAACACCAGAAGAGGTGAGTGTTAAAGGTATTTTGAAGTGTTAAAGGTATTTTGAAGCCATAGTCATAGTAAATCGGTAGTATTTCTGTTTTGCACCAAAGCAATTTGAAGTTTAATTTTAAGTTAGATTTTGTGGACTAGTGATGAATGGGGATTTTTCCATGCCCTGGAAGATGTAACTTCCCCTCACTATGCTGTTTCTCATATTGCTCTGTTAGTTCCTTTTATTGGGAAATGAGAGTCACAGAGAGAATGGGAGAGTCGTGGGGTCACTTACCTGTATGTTGTGTTTATGTCATGTTGAGCTACACAGTGAACTCTTGTTCGCTGGGTTTTGGCTTGGTCTATGCCGGGTGTGAACTTTGCTTGCTAGTTTAAAAATTTTGTTGTTGATCGCTTAACATTGCTTTTTCTTTTTTTTTTTTTTTTTTTCACTTTTTCCCTAAACATGTAACATCGAAACTGCTTAATGCTAAAAAAGCTGTTTTGTTAAACCAGTTGTGTTTAATTGAACTTTTGGTTTTGAAGGATCATGTCATGTGTTTATCATGTCTATAATAGAGATGTAGACTAATTATATGAATAGTTGTGATTGCGTTAAGAGTTTTTTAAGATTTACTTATGTATTTATTTGAAAGGCAGCGTTAGAAGGAGAGAGAGGCCTTCCATCCTCTTGTTCACTCCCCCAAAGGCCTTGATAGCCAGAACTGAGCTGATTAAGAGCAGGAGTTTCTGGGTCTTCCATGTAGGTGCAGGTGGCCTTGTACTTGGGCCGTCCACACTGCTTTCCAAGGCCATTAGCAAAGAGCTGGATTTGAATCTGCATCCATGTGGAATATTAATGCTGCAAGTGGAGGCTTAGCGTCCTATGCCATGGCACTGGACCCAGGACTATATTCTTAAAAAGGCAGGAAATTTATTTGGTCTCAAACATTAACTTACTTAATTTCTTTCTTTCTTATATAAGATGTATTTAATTTTTATTAGAAAGGAAGATTTACAGAGGGGAGAGACAGAGAAAGATTTTTCCTCTGCTGGTTCATTCCCATGTGG